CCTTGTCCGGCTTTTATTAGACGCATCCCTGTCGTTTTCCCCTTTGAGGGCGTTTTCCATATAGGCATGTTAGCTACCTAAATTATTTGTTTTTTGTTGTGTCTGGGTAGTCAACAACCAGCATAGTAAATGGAGTGTTCTTCTTGGTATTCGCATTTATTCCTGTCCGTTCATACGTTTTTTAGTCAGTTCACGCGTGACTCGGAAGTAAAGACGGCATACGGTTTTAATTTTTTCTAACGCCAGTTACTTTTCGTCCGCAACAGCTTCAAGGTCTTTATTTATCCGGAGTTTTAATCTTTCTGCTAATTCGACTTAGATATTAGAATAAAGTTTCTGGACACCTTATTTACCGAGGTTCACTGACACCATTTTGTTCTTATAGGTGCTTCTGTTGATTTTAGTTGTTTGTTTATATTTCCCTAGGTATGTGGACACCCTCATGAGTCTGGAGCAACGCGTTCCCATGACGAATCAAGACGTTGCGATACCATTCAAATGGTACGACTGCTTCTGCTCTCAATCAATGTTCTCCCGGGATTCCATGAGTAAGTTAATAATAGCCCTAATGCATTGTTGTCCTTTTCTAGCAGCTGACGTAATAAACCCCAATCACAAGGCCTTTTAAACTATCATGTTTTGTAATGAAGTAGAGTATCACATATATTCGGCGTCATTTTCATCGGCGTCGGTAACGATTTGATAATTGTTTCCCGAAGTACCAGTAAGAGTGATATTTGACGCTTTATGTTTAGAACGCAACCCTTACTCGATAATACACTTTTTATGCTTAACGCAGGCGTGATACGTCTAAGAACATTTTTGATGTTTAACGTCACAAAAACTACCAACCTCTTTTCCATCTCTCATTTAGAGGGCTACACAGCTGGATTCGAGCGTTGCTGTATGATCTTCAATTTGGCCGCTGTTCACAGTCAGATAGCCGCAGGCCAAAATATTCACGACGATGACGGTCTACGCACAGCTGCCAAGTCTTTTCAGGTTAGTTTTTTTCAGCAAACCCTGGGTCTGCTCTGATCCACTGTCACTCATATTTATGCGGTTTTTGAACTGTTGTCCCCGCTTCTGGAACAACAGCATTTGAGCTCATCACCAGTTGGTCCTGAGGCTCGGACAGTCAACTAATGCATGAAAGAGGGAAGAGAGCGAGGTGAAATGTTGGAAAATCCCCCCCTTGACCAAATAAACACACACCTCACTAGGCTAAATCTGACGCACTTGAATCTGTCATGATGCGATATGGAGTCGTGGCTCTGGGGGCTTCCAACTATTAGAATAACGTGGTGCTTTTCAGTCGCGCAGCCGTGGCTTTCTATTTTGGCCTTTGTGGCACTCTCCGAACTCTCCCGTTACATGTTTTGAAGAACGCATCGTGTGTAGTACGCAGAGACGGGATATTTGGGTTCGTCTGTCACTGCATCCGAATTTACTCCGTTCGTCTCGAAATTGTACTGCCACCGGAGTTATGAAGGAGAGCGTGCAATAAATAGTGTAGAAACTCCCCTAGTTGTAAACTAATTCATACTCAGGTGACTTCGTGACCCGCGATAGCCGTCGCTTGCGGCGGTAAAACTATTAGGAATAGCATTAAATTATTCCATTTTGGTTTCAATATTAATTCACCGTCTACGCAGTGATGCTTACCTAATGTTTTAATAGATTTTAAAGCCGATTTTTTTCGGATAATTTTACCTTGTGTGCCCTAAATCACCTCTGTGGTGTTCATTGTCCAAAGTATCTTGCTAGATCTGGTGCAAGTCTTGCCATTGACGCTCTTATTGCTCTGTCTAATTTTTTGCTCCTCTGTTTTGTTTGTCCACCCCGTTATTCACAGTATATGTTGAAGGCATTTATTTTACGCATCTTCGTTTTACAGGCTGCCGCTGGGATGTTTGAGTACGTGAAGGTTAACCTGCCATCATTCTACAGCGAGTCGCCTACATGGGACATGTGCAGTGAATGTCTCACCGCGTTTTCCGAAATAATGTTAGCGCAGGCTCAGGAAAGCTTTTTTATCAAAGCTGAACAAGGTAATCCTGCCAATTTGTTCTTTTAATACACACTTTCTCCGAACTTAACATTATTCCCCGACCGGATTCTTTAGTCCTCTTTGAACTTTAGTTTCTTATGTGCCGAGCCGCAAGGGGTGTTTTATTTTGAGCCGTACGATATAATAAAGGAAAACAGAGTAATTATTAGGGTTCGGTTATCTATCCTCTGCAGTCTCGTGCGCAGGAGTGAGAACTCGAGGATGAACTTCTTAGAAGTCTACACCGGTTATTTGAACAGTTTTTTTTTGAAAGTCCGATAGGTTCGAACATTTTTCATGATTAAGGCATGCTGAAAATGCATATAGAACTCATAACTAGTCTTCTTGTTTGTAAAATTACTTTGCCGTTACCCAAATTGGGCCTTTGTGTAGTATTTATTTCTTCGTGCCAAATGCGATGACTTGCTTGTACGAACTGTTAGCTGCGTTAATTCATGATGATTGCGCCCCTGTGAATGTTCCTCCATGCTGTTGTCATCGTTATTTAGAAGTGCCGGGCCCTTAGAATGCCCTTGCCAAAAAACTGCTTGCAATAAACCTACAAACCTACTTATTTAAGACAATGAAATTGGAGATTTTTGACAATTTCTTTAATTTACCTGAAGATAAACGATTCAATTTGACTGGAGATGAAAAAACTTACCTTTCTCTTTATAATGGATTGTTTTCCGCATAAGTGGATTGATTCCACGATCTGTTGTAAGCTTGCGAATGTAAAACCAAACTGGCCATAAATGGCCACTTTTTGAAATACGTATTATTCTTCTGTCTGTTCCGTTTCTAAATAACGCATAAACTGAATGTATAGTTTACAAAAAACTATATTTTTACATGACTTACATTCAATAAAGCCTTCTTTACATTACGTTCGCGGCAACATATGCGACACTTTGCTTATGCGCAAGGACAGCGGTGCGGTAAACCAAAATTTCGGACGAAAACTTTCTGTTACTGCATCTTGTGCAAAAAAACTTCACAGGATAGCTAAACATAATTTTTAAAATATAAATATCAAATGTTTCTGCAAATAAATGCGATTCTTTCAACTTGGCTTCACTTGAATCTGAACAATTTTGGACAAAATTTTCCAGTTCTGGGAAGGATATCTTCTATACCTGTTTTACTTATTTTGCAGTCCCTCCATAGTATAATCAACATAAATAAGCAGTTTGGTTCTGTCTTTCGTACTAGCATAGGGAATTCCTTCGACATAAGACTACTCCCAATTTCGTCAAAATTAATGGCCATTTCTCCTAATAAACCTAAATAAAATGATTTTCCTAGCTAAAAGGCTTTCGCAGAATTGAATCCACTCAATGAATTAAAATAGTGTTATCAAATGTATGCTTAAGTAACCAGTTAAATTTCATCATGAAAGTTGCACGGTCTTTAGTGACTACTGTATGTTCTGGCCAGTAGCTTTTCCAAACAGCACTTTGAAAAGGATGGCCAATTACCAAACGGTAGACAGCGAAAGTCAGCAAAGCCGCTTCTGTGGGGTTACCATGCGGGTCTCTTGACTTTTACTGCCTTTTTGGCCGGAGGTGGCGCATAGACCACAGGAACCACTTTGTTTATGTACTGCAACCTTAGAAGAAGACTGTAGGATTGGCGTTACCTAGAGGTACACGTGTCTGCACGAACAATAACGGACATAAGGACATGTAGACCTTAGCTTCCGGGTTTCTGCGCACGCAGAGAGGAACAGACAGGCCTCGATTTGCCGCGAAGGCACAGTTCGAATTCAACGATTCATCCAGAAGGTTGGATTTGGGTGTGCTACCCAAATCGGTATACCGATCTGCCAGCCTATCAAGAATGGTTGAGCCCGGTCAGACAGCGCGATAGCCTGCTACTTTTGGCACTTACGTGCTGGTAACCATGGCAAGAGGAACTAACTAACTTCCACGCAGGTGGCACCTTCACAG